TGGTCATTTGGTGGAAAGCATTTCCTAATAATCTGCATTTTTTCATCCAAACTATTTGACAGCTTCCCCGCTGTCCAGATTGTTTATATACCCCAGTACAGTTACTTGGCTTCCAAGGAAAACACAGCACTTCTTGTTCTATTTTTTCTGTTTTTTGCCTTCAAACCCGCGTGTATCTGAAGCCATGAATGAAGATCTGACTGCTGGCCATGCGTAAGGTTGCATCAGCTTATTGAGCCAGTCTGGGATGAGAGTCGTGCAGCTTTGAGGTTGGACATGGATTGCAGGGGGGCAAGGGACAGGCTGCCTGCATGCTGCCTCTTTCCCGGTGGTAGCCCCTTTAGACACACAGCAGTAGGAGAGGAATACCAACCCCACTTGGAGTAGATGAATAGAATCAAAGAACATTAGACTCATCCTGTGGAAATGTTATCAGGCATCTAATACATACCAGGCAGTAGGCTAGATGTAGTTTGATCATTTACTTATTCAACAAATATATATTGAGTGCCCACCATGGACCAGGCACTGGGGTTTGCAAAGATGAATAGGACAGGAAGTTGCCCTCAAGATACTGCCAACCTTGTGTCTCTTGGGTATGTCTGCAAGAAATGATTGCAAGGAACTTGAGCATTCGGTTGGGTTACTCTCTGCAAGTGGGTAGGATGAAAATAACTGCTTTCTTTGAAATCAGTTGAAGCTGTGCTGTAACGGTAGTTTACTGCTATGCAACCAAGAGCTTCACCATGAGATGGAAAATATTTCAAGAATGTAAATTTCTTTTTCACTCGTATTTTTTCTACTCAGTCCGAACCAAATCCACTTTGGTTTTTTTTTTGGCTGTGCCGCGCAGCTTGTGGGATCTTAGTTTCCTGACCAGGGATTGAACCCAGGCTATGGCAGTGAAAGTGTCAAGTCCTAACCACTGGACCGCCAGGGAACTCCCCACTAACCATATCCACTTTGGGTTTAAACCAGAATGTCTTTCTCTAACTATATTTGTGGAATGGCTCTACCATAAGATTTCCTTCGTATTTTCTTGAAGCTTTATGAGTTAACCAAGGTAAGAAAAGCTGAAGTAGAAATTGTTAAAGGGATAACCATTTAGAGTATACAATTGTTGCTTTCTTACTACACCAGAAATACCAGTTTAGGCATTTTGGAGAGCCCAAAATTGTAGAAAATTCTGCAGTCAGTTGAGGTAGGGAAAAAAATTGAGCTAAGTTTCTACAAGAGCAGCCTCTTTCAGACCATTGAGGCACTGTGGGGCTGAGGGAAGTTTTGCAGAGTGAGGATGTGATCAGTGACACTGGGAAGATCTGTCTGTCTTCTTTCTCTCTGAGGTTCGGCCCCTCGCACATCCTGTATCTTCTGGTTGAGATGAGAAAGTAAACAGAAATTTTACACCCTCAGTAACTTTGACATGGGTCATTTGACACGTGCACTTTGCTCTTCTGGAACATTGCCTAGAGAGCCTTGATTTAATAGCTGGTTTTGGCTGCTGTCTACATACTGTATCATCTCTGGTGTGCTCATTTAGACGCCAGGATGAGCAAGGGGAGTGTGGGTGGGCAGCTGGCGGTGTTTATCAGAGGACTTTGGATAGGAGTGGAAAGTCAGCATTTAGGCTGAAAATGCTTTTTGGCCAGGGTTTTTCCCAGTTGAATTTTAGTGTTTTTGTAAGTCTCTCTTGGTTCACTTGAATTTTTGAGGGTCGCTTCCTCTCTAGGTTTGGTTCTGCTTGCAATTTAAAAAAAGTAATCATAAGGATAGCGTTATGGCTTATCTGCCACATAACCAAAAATGCCCTGTGACTGTCACAAACACGATTGATTATAATAACTCTGAAAGAGGCTTTCTAGAGAGATGGCATGATACCACCTCCTTCACTTATTCTGCTCTACCTCTTTAAGGTTAATACCTTGTTCCTTGGGAAGATGGCTCATTCCAGGTATACCTTCTTACCCAGCTTTCTGAGATCTGTTGCCTGACAGAATTCTTCACCATGTGGTTTTTATTTTCTTTGACATCCCACATATGGAGCTTTGTATTGTTGAGTGTTTTTTTTCCTTCATATTTTCTCAGTGGGATTATAACGTTTCAAAGCAGAAAGACACTGCCTTTGCTGTCTTTTTTTTTTTTTTTTGGTGGCCAGTTGCAGCTTCTGGGATGTTAGTTCCCCGACCAGGGATCAAACCAGTGTCCCCTGCAGTGGAAGCGCGGAGTCCTAACCACTGAACCAGTAGGGAAGTCCCTTGCTGTCTTTCTTTGTCTCTATTTCCTTCAGCTTTGGCACTGTCTTGTTCCAAATGTACTTGAGTTTTCCTCCCCAACCCCTTGAGGAGCAAAAAAGCCCGAGTGATGCTGGAGGTGAAGTGCGGGAGAGTGGATTGGGACCTGGGCAAAAGGGGGAACCTGAGGAATCCTGTCTGGCCTATTGAAAGGATGACCTCGGTCAGAGGTGAAAACCACTTGTGTTATTCCAGACAGACTGTCAGACAGAGGAACCAAGACAAAAAGGGAAGGTCCCCAAGCCAGCACCTCTGCTTGCCCCACCTTGCAGACGAGGTGCCCGACCAGTGGTCATCACACCTCCCTTCAGCTGTTGCCCCCCAGTGCTGCCTGCCTCAAAGCAGTTCAGTTTCATCACCAGCTGCATCTGGAATTTGAGATTTATTTTCTTAGTTTTCTGTGTCAGGGTTCCTCACCAAATTCCCCCTGCTTCTCCAGGTTTGGTGATTTACTTACAGGACCAGCATAGAGTCATCACCATGGTGGCTATAACTTAGTACAGGAAAAGGATATAGACCAGAACCAGCAAAGGGAAAAGGCGTGTGGGACAAAGTCTAGAGGAAATCAGGTGCCAGCTTCTCAAGTCCTCTCCCAGTGAAGTCACACAGGACACACTTAATTCCTCTAGCAGCAAGTTGTGACAGCACATGTGAAATGTTGTCTACTAGGGATGCTCATTAGAGACCCAGAGCCCAGGATTTTTATTGCGGCTGGTCACATAGGCACCCTCTTCCTGGCAAGCACCAAAATTTCAGACTCTCAGAAGGAAAGCAGTTGTGAGTGTAAACCATATTGCACAGTTTAGATACTGTGAGCAGGAACCCTCTCCAAATGTACGTTTCCAGACACCAGCCAAGAGCCTTTCTAAAGATAACAGTCTCACAGTGTGGTCTTTGCTGCACAGTTTCTAAACTTGCTCTTGCTTTTTTAGTTTGAATTTATTGAATTGGAGGTTCAGATTTGTGTCCAGTGATTTGAGGTGTTGGCAAGACGGGCCTTGGTCTGTTGTTGCTTAGGGAGAAACCTGGTCTGGACTGATGTGTGTTTAGCTTTCGGGGTGTTATTTTACTTTGACCTGCTGCTGCCTGCAGCCTGTGTTTGTGCCGACAGGGCAAGTTTGCTTCTTTCTTCTGTTTTTTTATCAAGATAACTCATTCCCTTACCCCCATTGCCCTGCTGTGGTTGTCAGACCTTCCGGTCCTGGCAGTGTTTCCTTTTCTCGGTTCCAGTCTCTGGGGCGTTGGCGGTGCTTATGCGGCCTACAGGCCCCACAGGCTCAGACTCGCAGTCCTAAGTGCAGCGTTCTCAGGGAGACGCTGTTGTTAATTAACTTCCATCTAAAACCTGTCTTATCGTTTTTAGAAGTGTTCCTTGGAAATCTTTCTTTGGGATATGAACCTTTTTTCCTTTGCGTTTTTCTCTTCTGTTTGTTTCTTTTCCTCTTTGGTTTTCAACTTTGAGTTTTTAGTTGCCTGGTTTCCAGAATCACATCATGATGGTGGTTTAGAACTACTCTTTACTGTCATCTCTGGGCACGTTTGTTTCTGCTAACCTGCCCCTCTTTTACGTACCACTGGTCCACAGATGTTCCAAAGCCAGTGGTTCTATGGGGTCTCTCCAGACCCTGAGAGGCATCTCAGTTGTGCTGTTAACTTGCGTCATTGATGTTTGTTTTAGGCCATATGTGTCCTATTACTTATGGCTTGAACTGAGTATAACACCTACCTGTAATATGAAATAAAAAATGTATCTGCCTTTTCCACAGTTTTTGCCAAATCTGTTGGCAAACTGTGATGAAGTAGGTAGGGCTTGACTTGTCATTGATTGTGGCTAAACTAGGCTGGCTCCATGTGAACTTGGGGCAGCTTCCCTAAACGTACCCTCAGGATTTAACCAAGATGGGCAAGGGGACGGGAGGGGAATTTTCCTTTTAAATTGGTTGATGACAAGACCTAGTTTCCTGGGAGTCTTGTCACTAATTAGCCCTTGGGGACATGAGTCTTTTTGCCACCATTGTTAAAGTCTTACCCATTGCTGCCTTAAGGACTGCAGCGGAGATGAGCCACGGGTCAATCTGCACAAGCTGGGCCAGCTCTAAGGAAGCAAGGTGGTTGGGGAGGGAGTAGGTGCTCTGTGAATGGGCTGTTGAACACTTGGGATAGGACTGGTGTAACTGAGGAGCTGAGTTTTTAATTTTACTTAATTTCAGTTAATTTAAATCGTCCTGTGTGGCTAGTGGCTTCTGTGTTGGACAGCGCAGCCCGGGGTAGTGGTTACAGTGTGGCCTTCAGAACCTTGATTCAGATCCCAGCTCTGCGGCCTACCTATTGTGTGACCGTGGGCACATTTCTTAACCTTGTAAGGTTGTTTTGAGAATTGTCATCGTGTTAAGGGTTTAGAGCAGTGCCTGGGAAGAAGTAAGAAGTGTGTGTTTAATTACTGTTGGTTTATTATGTTTATTCGGTATTTTGAGTGGAATGGTGTTAGAGTTCATGTAGAATATGAAACTTTACTGTTTCTTTGTTTTTGTTTTGAGCCACGCCACACGGCTCACAGGATCTTAGTTCCCCAATCAGGGATTGAACCTGCACCCCAGTGGTGAAAGCGCGGAGTCCTAACCACTGGACCACCAGGGAATTCCCATCTACTGGGTTTTTTTTTTTTAACTTTTATGTTTTCTTGTTTTGTTTTGTTTTTTTTTGCTCCAGGTTGCTGCAGCAACTGGCCACACAGTAGTGTTGGTGGACCAGACAGAGGACATCCTGGCAAAATCTAGAAGGGGAATTGAGGAAAGCCTTCGGAAAGTGGCCAAGAAGAAGTTTGCAGAAAACCCCAAGGTAATTTCCTGTCATCAGTGTCCTCAAGACCCGTCCTGTGACCACTTCACATTTGTGAGGGCGTTCTCGCCTTTGCTTGCTTTTTCAATTCGTTTGAATTGAAACCTTAGGCCAGTATAATAGGCCTAACTTTAGGCCAGTATAATAACATAATCACTAAATATTCCATGAGAAATATTGGGGTGAAATAAAATTAATTTTACCTGTTTCTTTTTGCTTGTTAAAATGCAACCAGTAGAAATTTTAAATCGCCTATCGTCTTGGCGTTGTATTTCTGTTGAACAGCTCTGAGAGTTGTTTATTTCTTGATGACTTTGGGTGCCTTTAGCTGATTGTGACCATTTTGAATCCTCATGGGCAAATTACATTTTGAAGTAAAATGGCAGCTAATAAGGGCACTGTTTCTGCCCTAACTGAGGTCTCTTTGTGGAAACCTGGAGGCACAAATGAGGAAAAGACAGGACTGCGAGCTCTTTTAGAGCAGAGACTGTGTCTGGCGTGCTTTTGAACCACCCGTTGCCGGCACATGATGGGCGATCATTATTTGACGAGCGACTGCTGAGTTCAGCTTTCTTACTCCTCGCTCCTGCCCTTACTTGGCTGTTCCCTGCCTCCTACTAGAGGGATATAGTCAGCACCACCTCTCAGACTCATGGGTGGGGCTGAGCTCAGCCTTTACCCTTTTCTGGAAGACAAATTACAGGCTTCCAAGAAGCCCGTCATGTAACAGTACATGGCTGGCTGGCTGTTCGCTCGGAACAGATAGAACAGGCCAACACAGGTGCTGTGAACAAACAGTTTAGTGACTGGAGCAGAGCTAAGAGCTTGAAAGATTATGACTGACACATGACAGTGTGCTGACCAGCAGTTGGGATTGTGCACAGGCTGATTCTTGCCCTGGTGTCCAGAAGTATATTGAGATGCTGTCTTCCCTAAGAAGAAACGTAGGGAGTTTTATTTCTCAGAATTTCAGGACACATTCAAGTTGTGTCTGGGGTATCCTCGCCTTCCTCTCTCCTCTTGCCTTAGCAGCAAGTCACACACCATTTTCCAGTGAGCCCAGTGACTGTTCTCTTCTTACTCCACTGCATTAGGCTGGTGATGAGTTCATGGAGAAGACCCTAAGCAGCATATTGACCAGCATGGACGCAGCATCCGTGGTCCACAGCACAGACCTGGTGGTGGAGGCCATCGTAGAGAATCTGAGGGTGAAGAGCGAGCTCTTCAAGAGGCTGGACAAGTTTGCTGCCGAGTACGTGATCTCTGGGAGATCTTGTAGGGTCTTCGGGCTTCCTCTTGGGCGCTTGGGCTTTTCTCCTGGGAAGGAGTCTTCTAAGCCTTTTTATTACCCTGCAGCTGTTTCCAGAAGAGCTGACACTGTTTCCTTTGTTCTCCATCCTCCACCCCCAGTTTGCTTCCCGAGCCTTGGGCTGCCCTGATCTGACCCTTGTCCCCAAATTAGGGTGGAATTTTCCATGTGAAATGGAGGGCCCATCCAGGGACAGGCCTTCATCTCTTGCAGCGTCTTTGTCTTGGGCCCTCCCAGGCCAGAGGATGGAGGCACTCGGACATGTCCTTAAATGTCTGCTGAGCAACCTCAGAGCAATTTGGTGTGTCCCCTCTTTTGGGTGGAACCAACAGAATGATGTAATTGAAGGGAATGCTTCTCTGTCTACACAGTTTTCTAGGACCCTCCTGCTTTGAGCTTTCTGTGGGTTAAATCACAACACTCTTGGGAGCCTTTAAGAAGCACTGAGTTCTTACTCAGCTTCCTGGCAAAGGGTGGGAGAGGAGAGCCAGCCTCATGCAGGTCAGGCACAGGGCCGCCAGGCTCAGGACTGTCTGTGCAGTGTCAGCAAGCTGTGCACATGTGCAGCTCTAGTTCTGCGTGTGGCTCTTGGTGATACTGACACCTGATGTATTCATTCATGCTCTTGTGGTTTTCCTGGCCATGCTTCACCCTTCTTGGTTGGGACTCAAAGTCAAATAAGATTATATGACAACAGTAATTCTTAGGCAGCCACCAGTGAGCACTGGCTAAAGAGAAACACTTGCATACCAGCCTGCTGGGTTGTCAGCCCTTAGAGCTCTATGGTCTGGTGGCTGGAGAGGCCCTGCCCTGACAAAGAGAAGAGGCCTGTCTTTCTGTCACCTGTGTTTCACTCTGCTGACCAGCATGCTCATGTGCTTTACACGGGCATTTAGGGGCTGCAGCACCATCTACAGAAACAGAAGTCTGTGTTGGTAGGGGTGTTGACTCCCACGTCAGCGGAGAGCCCTCTGAGTCAGTAAAGCACCCACCCCCAGAAAAGGGAGTATTGTCAAGCAGTTTGGTCTTTATTGGAATGTTGGTCATTCCCTCGTGACAGTGACGGGTCTGACTGCCCTCTTTTGTCAGCGTCGAGTAAGGGAAGGACTGTTAGGGGAAAGTCAGGTGGCCTGGGGCCAGGCCCCCCGCCACTTCCCTCTCTGACCTTGGACAGTCATGAACCCCCTCTGGCCCTCAGTTTTATCATCTGTCATTTGAGTTCATGAGTTAGGGGTAAATAATTTCCAAGACCTTCCCAGTTCTAACTCTAAGACTAGTTGCCCTGTCTGTGAAATAGGGGTAGTGGTACCTATTGCCCAGGGTTGTTTGGGAAACTCGTGTAACTCAGCTCACATTTGCGGAGAGCTCCTGTATGTCAGGCACTACACTAGCCTCGTTCACCTAAGTTCATGTCATAAAACAGGTGTGTCGCGTGACGGGACCCGTAGGCACGCGCCGTAGGTGTGACTTGCTTCTGGCCCCGCCATCCTTCTCCACACTCCCGTTTTCATTTCAGATCTCAGCGCCTCTGTTGAATGTTACTGAATTGCTGTTGTGTTTTTTTATTGATGAAACAGCTTGATTGAGATACTTTACTGCTTAGTTTTGCAGTTAGATCCTTATAATGGGAGATGAAAATACATTCCAGTGATAAAGTTCCACTTGGAAGCCCTGATAAAACAGTTGCATCCTGGAAGAGAGCACACATTCCCTAGCTGCAGTATAAGACGTGCAGATGAAAAGCTTCCCTAAGGCCCGTGGCCCACCCCAGCTGAGCCCTGGCTGCCCGCTTTTGACAAAGCACGGGCTCTCCTCTGGAACAGTCCACCACCCCCTCTAGTCTCCTTCACACCTGGGGGTGTTTCCAGTGACCATCATGCTTGTGCTGTTGATTTTCTGTTAGTGCATTTAAGAGGAAAGTTTTTTTGGTACGTGAATATCAGAAAGGGAAAAACAAAAGATGGTGCTAGAGAGTCAGGTGTTTCAAGGAAAATGTGAGAGTGTGCTTTTTTGTGGAAGATAATATGTACATACATCGTGTTTGTGTTGAAGGAAGGCAGTGTGAGACACTGTTAGTAGCAGGGCCAGCCTGGCCGATTGGGAGAGGTGGCAGTGGAGGTCTGTCGGCAGGAGACATCTTTCTCCTTCTGGTAATATGTGTGCTGGGAGTGTCCTGGGTTGGAGACACTCGACACTGGGCCCTGATGTACAGTCTTCCTTCTGTATCTGTCAGGGTTGGTTCCAGGACCCCCTGTGAATACCAAAATCTGAGGATGCTCGAGTCCCTTACATAAAGTGGTGTAGTATTTGCATGTAATCTACGCAATCCCCCATATACTTTAAATCATCTCTAGATTACTTATAATATCTGATACAATGTAATGCTATGTAGACTTCCCTGGCAGTCCAGTGGTTAAGACTTTGCCTTCCAGTGCAGCGGGTGCAGGTTCGATCCCTGATCGGGGAGCTAAGATCCCACATGCCTCGCGGACCAAAAAGAACCCAAAAAAACATGAACAGCAGAAGCAGTATTGTAATAAATTCAGTTAAGACTTAAAAAAAAATGGTCCACATCAGTGTAAATGCTATGTAAATCACATAGCAAGTCCAAGTTTTGCTTTTTGGAATTTTTTTTTTTTTTGGAATATTTTTGATCCGGGTTGGCAGAACCTGTGGATCCTGAGGGCCGACTGTAACTTCATTGTTTGACGAAACATGCTCTCCAGTCAGTGTGCCTTTGTTTCCCCTTTTTGCAGATGAGTTGCCCTTCACATGTCCTATAAAAAGATGCCACACTCATCAAAGATGAGTGTGTAACCCTCACCTTTGAGATAGCCCTTTCTTTTCTTAAGGGGGGGTAAGGAACCCCTGCTAGCACAGCCTTGGGTTGTGGAGACCCTGCTGCTGTGTTTCAGGGCATGTCAGCCACTCCTTGTTACTGCAGAGGGTCTCCTTGCCTTCTGTGATGGGGGATGGTTTATATCATGTGACGGGATAATTTATATTATTTTCCCCAGACCAAAAAGCAAGAAACTTTGAAAGCTAGAATTTTAAACCTTAAAAAAAGTCTTTTTTTTTTTTTTTTTTAAAGGACAAGCCCCTCTAGCTGGCCTTTAAGTTGGCCAACTTAGAAGTTGTTTGAGAAAGGTCAGTGTTCTTGTGCCGTAAAAGTGAAATGCTGTTTATGTCAGAAAGTGTTCTGCCTATGCTTTCCTCTAAGAGTTTTATAGTGTCCAGTCTTATATTGAGGTCTTTAATGCATTTTGAGTTTATTTTTGTGTATGGTGTTAGGGTGTATTCTAATTTCATTTTTTTTTTTTTTTTGCAGTCATTTTTGTGTGCTTTTATTTTTTTTTTAATGGGCTAGATTGAGAATCTGCTTTATTTTTTTGTGTTTTTTTTTTTTTTATACAGCAGGTTCTTATTAGTCATCCATTTTATACACATCAGTGTATACATGTCAATCCCAATCTCCCAATTCATCACACCACCACCCCCTGCCACTTTCCCCCCTTGGTGTCCATACGTTTGTTCTCTACATCTGTGTCTCTATTGCTGCCTTGCAAACCGGTTCATCTGTGCCATTTTTCTAGATTCCACATATATGTGTTAATACACGATATTTGTTTTTCTGACTTACTTCACTCTGTATGACAGTCTCTAGGTCCATCCACGTCTCTACAGATGACCCAGTTTCATTCCTTTTTACGGCTGAGCAATATTCCATTGTATGTACCACGTCTTCTTTATCCATTCGTCTGTCGTTGGGCATTTAGGTTGCCTCCATGACTTGGCTATTGTAAATAGTGCTGCACTGAACATTGGGGTGCATGTGTCTTTTTGAATTATGGTTTTCTCTGGGTATATATATGCCCAGTAGTGGGATTGCTGGGGTGTGGTCTAATTTCATTCTTTTACATGTAGCCGTCCAGTTTTCCCAGCACCACTTATTAAAGAGACTGTCTTTTCTCCATTGTATATTCTTGCATCCTTTGTCATAGATTACGTGACCACAGATACATGAGTTTATCTCTGGACTTTCTATCCTGTTCCATTGATCTATAAATCACAGCAAGATCTTTTTCAATCCACCTACTAGAGTAATGAAAAGAAAAATGAAAATAAACAAATGGGACCTGATTAAACTTAAAAGCTTTTACACAGCAAAGGAAACCGTAAACAAAACGAAAAGACAACCCTCAGAATGGGAAAAAATATTTGCAAATGAAGCAACCGACAAGGGATTAATCTCCAAAATATACAAACAGCTCATGCAGCTCAATATCAAAAAAAAACCAACCCAGTCAGAAAATGGGTGGAAGATCTAAGTAGACATTTCTCCAAAGAAGACATACAGATGGTTAAAAAGCACATGAAAAGATGCTCAACATCACTAATTATTAGAGAATTGCAAATCAAAACTACAATGAGGTATCACCTCACACGGGTCAGAATGACCATCATCAAAAAAATCCACAAACAGTAAATGCTAAAGAGGGTGTGGGGAAAAGGGAACCCTCCTACATTGTTGGTGGGAATGTATACTGGTACAGCCACTGTGGAGTATAGAGGTTCCTTAAAAAACTAAAAATAGAGCTACCATATGATCCAGCAATCCCACTCCTGGCCATATTTCCAGAGAAAACCTTAATTCAAAAAGATACATGCACCCCAATGTTCACTGCAGCACTATTCACAATAGCCAGCACATGGAAGCAACCTGAATGCCCATCAACAGGGGAATGGATAAAGGAGATGTGGTACATACAATGGAGTATTACTCAGCCATAAAAAAGGATGAAATAATGCCATTTGCAACAACATGGATGGACCTAGAGATTGTCATACTGACTGAAGTCAGACAGAGAAAGACAAATATGATAATCACTTATATGTGGAATCTAAAAAAAGGCTGCAAATGAACTTATGTACAAAACAGAAATAGAGTTAAAGATGTCGAAAATACACTTATGGTTATGGGGTGGGGGAGTAAGGGGCGGGGAGGGATAAATTGGAAGATTGGGACTGACACATACACACTGCTATATATAAAATAGGAAACTAATAAGGACCTACTGTGTAGCACTGGGAACTTTACTCAGTACTCTGTAATGGGAAAAGAATCTAAAAAAGAGTGGGTATACATATATGTAGGACTGATTTACTTTGCTGTGCACCTGAAACTAACACAACAACATTGTAAATCAACTATGCCCCAACAAAAATTAAAAAAAAACAGTTAAGTGCTTTCCTGGGCTGAGCACACGAAGGGTCTTCCTTCAGTCTCTGGTAGCCACCACCTAGCACACCAGGTGCTTTCACCTCACTCACCTCTTCCCAAATTACTAGTTTCTTCTCCCTTCCCTTCTCCTTCCCTCTTGCCCCTGATTTCAGGCAGATTGTAGTATTGCCTTTTGAGCAAGCAGGAACCCCGCAGTCAGTCTGGTCGTAAGGAACCACTCCCCTTCCTGCGCTGTGACCAGGCCCTTGTGGTTGTAGTTAGCATTAGGCCATTTTGTGTACATTTATCCACGAGGTGGTGCTGTAGGAAAGCTGGTAAGTCTTGCCTGTCTCTTTAAATATTTGCCTGTCATGCCTTTGGCACCCCACTTTACTGAGGTCTTAAAAAATTAAATTGGGTTTAAGTCAGTATGGATTTTTTAAATTAATAATTTAATATTTTATATACTCAAAAGAAGGTGGTACTGCTTTTTTAAGGAGATTTTATAATAAGGAGAATGCCTTGAACTACATTTATCATGTGTATACGTGTATCCTTCCTTCCCCGAGTCTACTAGTGTAACCTTAAAACTTCTTTTGGACCATGTTGGTTTTTGTCTGTTTTCATTTTAATTCCCAGTCAATGGAAAAGTAAAGCTTTTCACTTGAGGGGAAAAGATTGTAGTTCATGTTTATGTCACATGTTTCTTGTTAAGGAGTCAGGTGTCTCTTCACAGTTTTTTGCTTATTTTGAGTGTCTGTGATACATCCTGTTTTTCCTTAGTCTTTGTTCACTTGGAGTTTCATCTTGTGACTGACGTTGTTGCCTCCTTTTGTTTCTCACATACTGTGTGAATTAGATAATGCAAGTAGCCAGGAGAAATTTTGCTCCCTAAAATTAAGGAAGGTTTGGTAAAGACTACGTAGGCTTTTGGAACAGGTAACTTTTGAATTTAAAATTTCAAAATTTAAATGAAACAGGTCACTTGATTTCAGCCTCTTGTGTGAAGCTGTGTCTTTTCTCAGACTTCCTCTAGGGTCAGGAAAGGACAGGACCTGGGCAGTAAGCAGTCACCTTGTGCGTTGCACCTGAGAGGGGTCCTGACTGTTTCCAAAGGTGGGACGTATTCCAATGCTCCGCTGTCTTTCTCTCCACAGACACACAATCTTTGCCAGCAACACTTCCTCTTTGCAGATCACAAGCATAGCCAATGCCACCACCAGACAGGACCGATTTGCCGGGCTCCATTTCTTCAACCCAGTGCCCCTGATGAAACTTGTGGAGGTCAGTGGGTATCTGCTTGTGCGTGCGTGCTTTTGCTCTGCCAGCCCTCAGCCCCTGCTTCTGTGAGTCGCACCCTCCCTGCCACTGGGGGTTGCACTGGATAGATTTTAGTGGCAGGGTGGAGGGTTGTCCTTGTGCTTGGGTTTCTCTGGCCAGACTCCTTTCAGAGCCAAAGGAAGAAACAGCAGCTAATATCTAGGAAGGCCCCTGTGCTTTGTTTCTTTGCAGCCCTGTGTTCTGACCAGTGATGTCCAGGAGGGCTGTTAACTTTGTGGAATGTCACTTACTTGTTTGTGCCATAGCTGATGGGTAGTGTAGAGAGAGGCATCAGACTGTGAAGGCAGCACTAAAGACCACTAGCTTGATGAGACCACGGAGGGGAGAGCCACCCATGTTCATATTGTCTTGTCCAGGTCAGTTTGTCTAGGCTGGATGTGGAATTCTGTTAGAAGCCTGGTTTCCCACAGGAGCCGCTGTAATATGCCCTGACCGCTGTTCCCGGGGTGAATTCAGCCCCAGGTAACAGGGCCTTGATATTGTCACCAGGGGAGGCACAGCTCCCGTGTGTTGTAATCAGACCTATTAAAGCAGCTAGTGGGAAGCAGCCGCATAGCACAGGGAGATCAGCTCCGTGCTTTGTGACCACCTAGAGGGGTGGGATAGGGACGGTGGGGGGGAGACACAAGAGGGCGGGGATATGGGGATATATGTATATGTATAGCTGATTCACTTTGTTATACAGCAGAAACTAGCACACCATTGTCAAGCAATTATGCTCCAATAAAGGTGTTGAAAAAAAAAATAAAAGAGCAGCTTCCAGTAGCCTTGAACCTCCCAACCTCAAACCTGGGAGGTGGAGGAAAGTGGCCAGGGAGGGCTGCCAGCGATCCTGTTTGGGCTGCTTCTGCTTGCTTGCTTGGAGTCTTAGGTACCAGGGAGGTGGAGTCACTGTAGATAATTTGCACCTGAAATGTGGCAACTTGCCATTGGTAGGGGGGGCTTATTACAGGGTCTGAGGAGCAGCTGCTTATTAAAGTAGCATTTGTGCTGAGGCTGCGGAGTTACTGCCACGCGCGAAGCGTGGTGCTGTGGATCCAGGCAGGCCTCCGGAGACCGGCCGGGGCTCCCTGGGCGCGCGGCGGGGTCTCTTTCTCCACTGCTGCCTTCTTCTCCAGGCCCCTTCCCCTCACGTGTCCCCTCCCCCCCACAACATAAGCATTAGCATCTAGTTTAAGGGTGACTACGTTTTCTTACAGTTCTCTTTCAAGGACGACTCTGACCCGTCTTGAGATAGGAATTATCTGTTCCACTAACATTGCTTCTTAGTTTCTTCCAATTTACTGCCAAACCCCTAAGGCTGTTTTTGAAGAAGTTAGGGAATGAAAGGGAGGGGCACAGGGACTAGAAGAAACAGCATTTCTCCTTATGCATAAAAGAGCAAGGAAGTGGAATGGAATTGTCAACATTTCAGTACTTAGGGGCTAATTACTTTTTTGGTTACCATATCATGCACATAATGTGTTTCGAAGATACAGACAAATTTTGTAGATTTACTTCAAACTGTAATACTGTTTTCAACTGCATTTATCTGATAATGTCCATCTGTGTCTTTGGAAATATGGCACCTTGATTGTTAACAGTTAATGCTTGGCAATTGTTAACATTTTCTAGAAAGTGTTTTCCAAAAGTGCTCTTCTTTATGCAACTTTTATTCAACTTGAGCATTCATGTATGTGTTGCTGGTGGTAAGCACCACAATGAACAATAAGTTGAGTGGCTCTTCTTTACTTGGGGCTGGGCTCAATTAATGTGTGTATATGTATATTTTTTCAGACCCTGTGTTGGAACAGAATATATGTAGCACATTGCTGTTTGTTGAACGAATGAGTAAATATGCATCCTTCCTGTTAAAAAAAAAAAAAAAACGTATAGTATTGACTCCTTTAAGCCAACAAATTAGTTTTTTAAACTCAGTAATTAGCAGCCCTTGTCCTAGCTCAATCTATACGGTTCTGATGGAGGTGGTTTTATACCTCCTCTTGAATAATTCTCCTATTGCTGTTTGATTTGTGATGCCTGCAGAGCAGTTTCTGGCCCATCTCATCCCATTCCTCAACCCCATCTTCATGGTGCTTTTTTCTGTTTACACTCATTTACTTCCCTTAGTGCCATAATGTAGCCCCACACCCCAAGCTGTGACCACATTAAAACATGAATGATAATGATTCTCTCCATTTATATAGAGCTTTTCATCCTGCACAGACACTAGCTCATTACACCATATAGCCCTCTTAAAAGAGGGAGGATGTGTCAAATATCATCATCCCAATTTCATATAAGAAAGGTGAGGCACAGAGGGTTGATTTGACTTGCCTAGGCTCGTATAAAGGGTCCGATGTAGAAGCCAAGCCTGTTTGCTTTGACTCTGGTTGAAGTCCCTTAACTGGCATTTAAATTGTATATTTAATTTATATATTTTTTTAAGTTTATAAATTTATTCATTTATTTTTGGCTGTGTTGGGTCTTCGTTGCTGTGCGTGGGCTTTCTACAGTTGTGGTGCGTGGGCTTCTCATTGCAGTGGCTTTTCTTGCTGTGGAGCACGGGCTCTAGGAAAGCGGGCTTCAGTAGTTGGTGGCACGCGGGCTCAGTAGTTGTAGCTTGCAGGCTCTAGAGTGCAGGCTCAGTAGCTGTGGCACACGGGCTTAGTTGCTCTGCGGCATGTGGGATCCTCCCGGACCAGGGATCAAACCCGTGTCCCCTGCATTGGCAAGCGGACTCTTAACTACTGTGCCACCAGGGAAGTCCCTATTTTTTTAAGTTTAAATTCATCTGGGTCTCTCTCCATTTGCTGAAATCTAATTGCTGACAACGCCTGAGAGTTGACTGCCAGGTGTGGCCCATGGTGCTGACTTCCGTAGAGCCCAGCAGCTACTGTGAACAGGGTAGCAGTCATACTCTGGCAGTGCACCTCATAGAGAAGATCAGGAGGACGGCTAGGGGCCTTCCTGAGGCTCCTGGCAGGTGGCAGGCCCCAGCCATTGGCTGGTATTTGCTGGTTATGAAAGCCTTCCTCTGGGATGAGCCTGTCCTGAGGCAAAGGGAGCTGTTGGGCTTTGGGGCATCTGTGTGGGAGAGGGCGCAGTAATGGGGGGATTACTCATCTCAGAGTCCACAGGACCTGGGTGACCTGAGTGCACCTCTGTTTTCCTGAGGCTCCTTCTCATCTGTATGCTAAGAGAAGGTGTAACTTCATGCAGAGTACTTTAAGGGCAGTTGTTACACTCTAGTAGACTTCCAGTTACCTCCCTGAAATAATTAACAGTAGCAAGTAAAACCCTAATAAAAGACAGCATTTACTGAGCACTGCAGCCCTCGTAGAAGCTGCCCTTAATGCTTTACTTCCTAATCTAATTCCATTCTCACCTTAACTCCTTGAGGTAGGTAGAGTGATTTAAATGTCATTTCAATTTCAAGAAACACTGCCAGGGTCACAGAGCCAGTAAGTGGTGTGATTGGTATTTGAATCCAGGTCTGTCTCGGTGACAAAACCTGTAGAACTCTCCTGCGCGCGCACGCGCACACACACACACACACACACACACACAAACACACACACACTTGTATGGTTTTTTTTTAATATATTTATTATTTTTGGCTGCGTTGGGTCTTCATTGCTGCGCGCGGGCTTTCTCTAGTTGCGGCGAGCAGGGGCTTCTCTTTGTTGCGGTGCGCGGGCTTCTCATTGCGGTGGCTTCTCTTATTGTGGAGCACGGGCTCTAGGCCCATGGGCTTCAGCAGTTGCAGCACGCAGGCTCAGTCGTTGTGGCTCATGGGCTGTAGAGTGCAGGCTCAGTAGTTGTGGCGCACGGGCTTAATTGCTCTGCGGCATGTGGGATCTTCCCAGACCAGGGCTCGAACCCATGACCCCTACATTGGCAGGCGATTCTTAACCACTGCACCACCAGGGAAGTCCCCACATTTATATTTTAAGCCTTGATTTTGTGTGTTCTGCCGTAGTCCACTATCTTAAAGTGGACGTTTTGTTTCTGGCTTGAAATCCTTCTAATCTGAAACTAAAATTATTTTTGCCACCTGTGTGGCAATATTTGATCAGTGTTTCCTTGAACTGTTCTATTGAGATTGTTTGCTGACTTTCTGATTATAACTCTTCTCTGCTTTACGTTTCCAGGTCATTAAAACACCAATGACCAGCCAGAAGACCTTTGAATCTCTGGTAGACTTCAGCAAAACACTGGGAAAGCATCCTGTTGCTTGCAAGGTAGAGTATGGATAGCTTGGTAAGGGTGGGGTGGTGACTTTTCTCAGAACCTGACTTATTCCAGGTAGTATTCTTCCATAGTAGGATGGTGTGGGACGTGGGCCACTTTTGCTGCAGGCCTATCCGCAGGCTGTAAAGAGCAAGTTGCATCTAGCCGTGCTCCTAAGCCATGCTCAAGGCCATCAGGTGGGTAGTCTGCAATCCAAATGGAGCCATGGCTTCAGCTAAATTGAAAACTCGAATTTCTCTCTGGGTCTTGACTTTGGTTTCTTGATGAGTGGTTGTGTTTCCATCAGTGGTTTTTGTTACCTCATCAGCTTCAGCTTCTTCTGGGCCCTGAGGAACCAGAACCCTGTGTGCCAGGTACAGCCTGGTGGTACATGAATCCCGAACAGAAAACTAGGGCTTCCCTTTTGGAAAGAACACTTGCAGGTGATTAGGGAAATGGTGTGAGAGAGGTAGAGCCCGCCTCAACCAAGGTAGCAGGAAATGAAGCTGTTTCTCAGTGGAATGTTGCTTGTGATTTTGTTTGTGTTGTTTTGTTTTTCAGTAAGAAGTGTGGTGGGCGGAAAGCTTGCCTCCGGCCTTTTTCCCCTTTCTTGCGATTCCTGGTATTATGTGTGAAATTATCCCCGGGTGCTGTCACCTACTTTGTTTTGATTACCTCCAGTCTCTCCATTTGCCGCAGCTCCTCTTTAGTCCCCAGATTTAGGGACTGCGCTACTGCATGACTCGGCCGTGTTTCTGAAAGGACAGTTGTGTCACAGAATCCCATTACAGAGTTTTATAAATACGTTAATCTGCTTTTTTGACCATAATCATTTTATTAAAAAAAATTATTTTTAAAGAACTTTAAAAGGTTACTTTCCATTTACAGTTACTACAGAATATTGGCTCTATTCCCCATATTGTACAATACATCCTTGAGCCTACCTGATACCCAGTGGTTTGTATCTCCCATTCTCCCACCCCTGTATTTCCCTGTCCCCGCCCCACGGTAGCCACTAGTTTGTTCTCTGTTACTGTGAGTCTGCTTCTTTTTTGTTCTATTTACTAGTTTGTTGTATTTTTTAGATTCCGCATATAAGTGATATCATGTACAGTATTTGTCTTTCTCTGTCTGACTTCACGTAGCATAATGCCCTCCAAGTCCATCCATGTTGCTGCAAATGGCAAAATTTCATTGTTTTTTATGGCTGAGCAGTACTGCATTGTATATATATCATGTCTGCTTAAGCCAGTTGTCTGTTGATGGGCACTTGGGTTGTTTCCATGTCATGGTTATTGTAAATAGTGCTGCTCTGAATATTGGGGTGCATGTATCTTTTCAAAGTAGTGTTTTTGTTTTTTCGGATATATATCCAGGAGTGGAATTGCTGGTTGACTGTAATCTTTTAAATACCATTGTGGTTCTTCTCATACCATAGTTTTGCTTTCTAAAATAGTCTCAAGTTTGAACTCAAACTTCAAATCTTGTATTAACCCATGAAAACTCAAATTGTTCATGAATCATCTGAATCAGTCATCTGTCGATGTGGACCCCAATAGTCTTCCACCTGCCGGTCCCCCCAGTGGAGGTCTGTAGTGTTATATTAGGGAATCTCATTTTTTAACACTCATTTTTTTGGTTTAGTTTTATGGTTTTAAATATTTTGGATTAAAAAAAAATCACATTAATAACCAGAGGGTATGGTTGCACTTTTTCTTACCAGTTGATGCTTTGTTTGTGGCAGAAAGTAGTCATAATGTTAGAAGGGGCATCAGCTTGCAGCAGATGAAAAGCCAGGTATGAAAATGGAGGTGTGGGAACAAGCCAGGGATGGTCTTCAGCAGCACAGTCATTAATTCATGAAGAGTGGTGATTCGTTCTTCCATCAGACTGGCCATGGCAGATGCAGGCCTGGGAACTCTGGTCTCATAAAATTGCCCTTGTTACATCTCCTTTTAGGTGATACCTTAGGGCTTTTGGGGAGTCTTTCAGGGTCAGTTATTCAAGCTCTTGCTGAGGCACCCAGACGACAGAAGGCAATCACATAGAACAAGGGTCAGCAGACTTTTCTGTCAAGGGCCAGATAGTAATATTTTAGGGCTTATGGTCTCTGTTGCAACTACTCGATTCTACTGCATGGACCATACCAGCCGAGAAGTGTGGCTGTGTTCCACTAAAACTTTATTTACAACTGGATTTGGCCTGCAGGATTGTAGCTTACCAACACCCGACACAGAAGAATGGCATGAACGTGCCTGAAATGTGTCTTTCTTCCTAGTAAGACTTCACAGGGAAAGTGTGGTGTGAAAAGGTTAAGGCCATGGACTCTGGAGCCAGCCTGCCTGGGTTCACATCCTGGCTTTGGCACTTATTAGATGTGTAACCTTGGGCAAGTCACTTAACCTCTCTGTGCCTCAGTATCCTCTACCTCACGTAGAGGTAATAATAGTACTTGTCTCACAGGGTATTATGAGGAATAAATGAATTAATATTTGTAAAGCACTTAGAACAAACAATACCTGGTATATAATAAATACAGTAAAGTATATTTAATAAATATATGTGTATGAAAAATGTAAGGTGTATGATTATATAAAATTAAATTGCTTAATTAAAGGACTGTGTCTCTTTACATTCTACCAATATTGAGACTATCACTCTGCATCCTCAACAGCATTGAATATTATAATGGGGAAGAAACCTCTTGCCAATAATCTTACTGGCAACATGCTATTTTGTTCTAATGAATATTTCTTTAAATATTTTGTGAGTTTTAGCATGTTTTCCTTATTGAGTTCTATGAGCTCTTTATGTAAATGATTTTAAAATTCCATATATTATATATGGAGAAAATATTTTTCCCAGGCTGCTTTCTGATTTCTAACCTTGTATATGGTGTGCTTCATGTATTCAGGTACCCTACCCCATCCTGAATTTCTACAATAAACTTTTTGAAGTTGAAAAGCATTTTTGCCCTAGTTATTTTTTTAAAAATTTTTTATTAGAGTATGGTTGATTTACATTTCATTAGTTTCCGCTGTACAGCAAAGTGTATCCGTTATACCTATATCCACTTTTTTAGATTCTTGTCCCGTATAGGTCATTACAGAGTACTGAGAAGAGTTCCCTGTGCTATACAGTAGGTCCTTATTAATTACGTATTTTATATATAGTAGTGTGTATTTGTCAGTCCTAGTCTCCCAATTTATCACCCCCCCAACTTTCCCCCAGTAACCATAAGTTTGTTTTCTACACTTGTGACTATTTGTTTTGTAAATACGTTCATTTGTACCCCTTTTTTAGATTTCACATATAAGCGATATCATGGTATTTGTCTTTCTCTGTCTGACTTATTTCTCTCGGTATGAGATTCTCTAGGTCCATCCATGGTGCTGCAAATGGCATTATTCCTTTCTTTTATTCTAGCTGAGTAATATCCCATTGTATATATGTACCACATCTTCTTTATCCATTCGTCCATCGATGGACATTTGAGTGCTCCCATGCCCTAGTTATTAAATCAATATGGTTATATTAATATAGTCTTGCTTAAACTGATAAAGCTCTTTTGTGCATCTCTGTATTCCTGGGAGATGGGGTAGGCGTGGTTTCAGCTTGTCCAGAGTGAAAGGAGCTACAAATACTGTGGCTACGGTGTGCAGTCTGGTGAGTTGGAAGAGTAATGCAGGAGGCTGGGCGTCTTTAATTCAGATGTTTATGGAGCGTCCAGTGTGTGCTTGAAACAGGACACAAGGCCTGGGGCCAGGGTGCAGATTTCTTCCTGCAGGAGGATCACAGCCTTTTGTTAAAAGAGCGGGCTCCATTTACTTAGTTGAAATCAACTTCACATAAATACCACCAAAAAGTTAACCAAACCCAGCCTTCCCCACAAGCTTCCAAAAGAGATCAGTAGGTAGAATCCAGACCCCATACTAGGCCTCCAGGAGAGATGGTTAAGCATTTTAATGAGGGGGGAAATGAAGAAAGGAAGTGCAGTACAAGGAGTCATCAGGGTAGAGAGTCTTCGGTAGTGAGCTGTGAAAGGCCATCGATCTGTTAGCATCTGCTTGTTTGCCCCGGCACCTGTCCCCAGTTCCACCATCCCGTGCTGTGCGCTGGAGCCTGAGAAAATCCTGAGCAGCCGGGAGGTCGTGCTCCTCCGAGGAGTGTTCACGATGGACTGTTACTTTTTCTAGACTCCTGAAAGGGATGTGGGAGAGAAGAGGAGTAAAAGGACTGCCATTTGAGGGGGGGCTGTGTGCACAGCATTTTATGAGTTCTGATTTATCTTCACAACCTGTGAGGTGGAAGTTACTATTCCCGTTTCACAGATGATGAAACTGAGATTCAGAATGATGCAAGGTCAGAGAATATTAGAATTCGAGCCCAGATCTGCCTGCCCCCAAAGCCATGCTCTTTCTAGTGACCCCTCTGCCTTATCTGCCTTTATTTCAGGATCCGTGCAGTAGGGGCTTCTGGGGTACTATAATTGTTGGATAAATTGTCATGTGAGATAGAAGTGAGACTGTCTTGGTACCTTAAAACATTTTAAAAATGTATAGCTTGATAAATGTGGGTAACCGTCCAGGGTGATAAGGAGTGATCTGGTGACTTTACAAAAGATAAAGTTCACGGAAAATTCATTTGTCTACTGTTTTTCTCTCTCCTCTGACAGGATACTCCTGGGTTTATTGTGAACCGTCTCCTGGTGCCGTACCTCATGGAAGCAGTCAGGCTGTATGAACGAGGTAGCTGTCCCGACCCAGGCTGGGTGCAGCGAGTCTGGGAGTTCTCCCGCAGGGTCTGTGGGAAGGGATGGGCCATGAGGCGTAGGGGAGGAGCTTCTGTTTTCTGGCTCTGTGGAGCAGCCTGACCCTGGGCCCCTGTGCCTCTGTCACTGTGCTCCCAGGCCCCCCTGGATTCCCTCTGAGGTGGCTCTGGGACAGCCCCCCCACTACAGTCCCAGCCAGAGCAATCATAGGCCAACACGGATTTGTATCCTGGATCTCTGGTTAAAGGGTTTATTGCTTAAAATAATAATCATGATGATGATGATGATGATGATGATGTAGATGTAAAAATCACAGGGCCAGGAAACCTTTAAAATTCCCTAAGGTTCTAAAATTGTGACAGGAGAAGGGAAATGAGTTACAAGGCTGTTGTGTGACAAGGAATGTTTCCAACAGCCTTGTCCATCCTTACTGAGTGATGTTATGATGCATTTTTTTTTAACCTTAAGAATGGTCTGAAATGGTTTTTTCTCAATACTTTGTTGATTGACAAAGAATCATTTTCCCTGTTGCAGAAGTAGACTTGGGACAAGGTCCAAGGTTATAAAATGTCATGTATCCTCCTGCCTACCTTACCTACCACATTTCTGGAAAGGTAACTATCATGTCTGCTTCAAAGGCAAACAGGCCTTAATAGGACTGGATGAAAAGCAAGTGTAATTGTTCTCAATTACTTCATTTACAAATGCTTGCTCCTGAGAATGTCATTTTTGAAACAAAACATTCATACTAGCTCTTCCAGAGAGATGAAAGCATATTTTCTTCCTCAAAATCTGCTTTAAATATTAAAACTTTTCTCTGTGTTTTATGGAGGCATTTGCCTCACTTTTTGCTCCGAGATCAAACCAACACTTCTGTGTTTATCTATCAACAAATATGCCTAATTACACCTCAAAGACAGCATGAAGCATTTTGCCCTACTTTGAAAGGCAGAGGTTTTTTTTGTAATGTAATGTTTTAGAATATAGCATGTGGGTGATCCACCTCGTAATGGTGTCTTTCTCACTGAAACATGCTGTCACTTTGATATATTTTCAACTGAACCACATATCTGGTTGTAAGTTGAAAGTCATTTTCTTAGCTTCCACTTTCCTCTTACCAGCAGTGGTCCTTTTCTAAACAGATGGAGTCCCTTTATCCTTCACCATCACTAGCCACCTGGGAGGTGAAATTCAGAGGGGAGTCTGACCCCACAGGGGAAGTACTCTTACTTTGCCCTTGGCGGCGCTCTCAGTACCCTGGAGGTGCTGGGGGTCATGTCTGGCTGCTGTTTCCCAGGAAGCCACACTATGGTCTGGACTCCTCACACCTCAGGCTTCTTACCATGTCCCTTCTGCCACCTCAAGGTTCTGTCCTCATTCAGCCAGCGCAGGGGGTGCTCACATGCACGCCTGCCACCCCGCCTCTGTTAGCCTGCTCTGAGTGGCTGGCGGAACTGCATCCGTTCTTCTTTGAAACCTGAAGCCATTCTGGATTATCCTCTCTCGCTGCCATGTCTTTTCATTTGTCACTTTGGATTCCTCCCTGTCATCCTAGTCTCCCTGTGCCAGTCAGCCTGCCTTTAGTGAGGCTCCCCCAGGCAGCAAAGGATTTCCCGTTACCTCGTGTCTTTTCCAGACTGGTCTCCTCAAGTATTGTGTTGTCCAGGAGGGTGAGGAGACGTGCGTGCAGTGCTGCCCTCCCCCCACCCCGCCCCCGGGCTGCAGAGTCAAGCCGTGAAGGCAGTTCAGCCCAGCCTTTTCCGAACTCATTGTGGAGAATTTCTCTGGATGACACTGTCTTGGTCAGCTTGGGCTGCTATAAAAAATACAGCCATATAGATTGGGTGGCATATAAATGACAGAAATTTAATTCTCACAGTTCTGGAGGCTAAAGTCCAAATTTAGGGTGCCAGCGTGATTGGGTATCTATGCGAGCCCTCTTCTGGTTGTAGACTGCCTCGCATGGCAGAGAGCAGAGAGAGGAAACAGGCTCTCTTATGACTCTGAGAAGAGCGCTGATCCCATTCATGGGAGCTCTACCCTTGTGACTCTTCTAATCCTAATTCCTACAAGACCCCACCTCCTTATACCATCGCATTGGGGGGTAGTATTTCACCATGAATTTTGGGTCCATTACAAACAATTTTGGTATTCCCGAGGTAAGTGTGCCACTCAGACAGGTTGGTGGAATGCTGCTTTGAGTGGTAGAGGGTCATCAGAAGGATGTGTGTGGGGGGCGTTAGAACAGAGAATCGGCTCCGTCGTTGTCCACTCGGGCCTCCTGGGCAGCTGAGCGTCTTTCAGTGCACAGGCCCCCAGCGGCGCTTCTGTCAACTGCCTGTGGAGTCTAGCTGCGCTTCACTGCCCGCATCGCTGCTCTCTGGTGCTGGGAGCCTCCTTGCTTCTGTCGTGCCTTCCTCCCCAGTGCCCCGCAGCTTCTGTCCTCTCTCCTTACGTTGCTCTCATCATTCCCACTGTAACCGAGGCCTGATTGGTGGGCTCGGTCACCCTTGCCCCTGGGCGTCTGGGCTCTCTCTGCAGACCTTTGAGCAGACTGGTGCCTGGAGCAGACAGCTGCCCCCCGTCAGATGCCACTGTGACAGGGTCCGCTCTGGCAGCGTGGTGGGGCTGCATGGTTAGCTCTTCTCGGGTGACGCCCTGGGAGTGTCGTGAGCCTGTTCCCCAGGCACTGTGTGACATCCTGCTCACACTGTCACTCCCCCTCCCAGGACGTGTTCAGCGGTTCCATTGTAGCCTACCAAATACGGTGCCCTCGCCAGGGGGCCTTCTTTCTCCTCACCCTCTGCCTTCCTGTCATCACCCCACACCTTACTCCCACCTTCTCACAAGGCCCCACTGGACTGTCCCCAGCGCTCCAGGCTGGATGTGATCTGTGTTGTCGTAACTCTCTGTACACTTTGCTTCTCCTTCGGGGCATGTGCTACTCTCTTCCCTGCCACACGGCATGTGTCTCTCTTCTCCTACTGTACTCTTGTTTTCTGCGGCAGTATTTGGGTCCCCATCTTCATACCCCGCAAAGTGCTTGTGTAGGACAGGCTTTAGGTAGCTGTTGATGAATAAAGGAATGGTGGCTGCACTGCGGTTCTGATCTCTTTGCTGTGACTCTGGTTTGTTGTTAATGCCAAGAATGGTCGGTAGGTGGTGCTGATGAGCCGGCAGAAGAAGGCTGTTGGGACAGGTCCCAGGTTCTCAGGCCTGCAGAAGAGCTGGGAGTTCACTGAGGACGCCCTTCTTTGTTGTTCAGAGTTGGGGGCTCTTAGCTGGGGGTGGGGGTGGGTCCCGTGAGCCTCCTAAGGTTGATGCCGAATTTTGTGTATACGTGCATTTTCTTTGGAGAAGGTGTCAGGTTCCGAGTGAAGTGCTTGATTCTAAAGAGTAGGAATTATTGGTCTAAAATTATCATTGGTTAAAATTATTGGTCTATACCACGTGTTGTTAACTCCCACTTGGCACAACGGTCTGTATTTTATTTCTCTCTCTTTTCTTTTTGCCTCTTTTACCCTGTGTTACTCAGAACAGAATTTTTAGAATTATACTGACTTTGTAAAGCTTTTTAGATTTTTTTCCATGATGTGCTGTGTCTTCATATTATTTCAGTCAAGTGAGTCTCTGAATCTGGAATTACAGTTTTGACTCTAGGGTTTATTGTCTGTCTTGAATATTGATTTGATTAAATGGCTTTAGGTAAGTTGGAACCGTTATGCTATGAGATTTCTGTCCCCAGGGAGCCTATATTCTAATGAGGGGAGACAGCCTGTAGCGAATGAACCAATAGATAACACGTTAGGTTGTGACCAGTAATCCCCGAGAAAGATAAAGTCTAGGGGATGGCCGGAGTCCTAGCCTGGAGTCCTGACAGTTGCTAGTTTATATGCAGGGAGGAGGGGGAGGCTCTGATGCAGTGACACCTGAGCAGAGGTTCTGCGGATGGTGAGGACAGGTTACCAGTACACGGAGCATCCTGGGCTGTCGTTCCAGCATTCTGGCCCTGACACCACGGAAACCTCGAAGTCAAATGAAATCCTCTCGGCATAATCCACTTATCAGCTGCCGGCTTCTTTCTCACTCCTGCCTTTGCACGAGCTGTTCCTGCTCCCTGGAATGCCCTTCCCTGCCCCTCCCTGGGATTCTCTTCAGGACCGCCAGGACCCGGGCCTGGGTGGCAGTTGTGGTGAAGTCGTGGCAGTATGAGTAAATCTCTCCGTGATTGTGAGTCTTCATGAATCCTCAGCACTTGTCATGATGAAATTTGTGCTTTACACATCTGAATCCTCCCATTATACTGTGAACACTGGAGTGCTTGTCTTGTTTTTCTTTGTCTCATTCCAAGTCTCTGGTGCCTGATACATAACAGATATCGACAAAAGTTGAATGAATGAGTGAATGAGGCTGCCTGATAAGGCTAATGTGTATGTGATCATTTTTGCTCTCTTATGGCCTGAAGCTCAAATCATGGTTCTCAGGATCCTCTGGTTGACTAATCAGTGGAGTACTGATAATGTCTCCCGTGAAATAATTGGTTGGTATTTTAATCATCTTGAACCACCTTGAAATCCTTTGGCATTACCTTAGTACTTCATATGCTTTTAAAAATAGAGTCTTTATGCATGTTAAGTAGTTCTTGTTCCTCATGTCTAAAGATCTGAAATATTTAGGTTGTGAAATCTCTCAAGTCTTTTATAACTTTTTAATTGTATTTAGCTTTGGTATAATTGACCATTTCTTTATGCTTTGGAACAAAATTCTAGATAGACACTTGTGACAGGCTAGTCCTGATTTTGGAGAAAGGGACCAGGTTGTTCTCTATAAAGACCTCTGTGACCCAAGGACATTATGTGAAGGATAAAAATTCCAAGAAAAAAGCACTTGGCCCTTGACTCCTCAGCACACTTGCACACTTGCGTGGCAGTGCTCAGTCGGGTTTGGGCTTTCCTTTAAACATTATCGTGACTAAAGAGTTTGTGTGCATGTGATTCCAGTGGGATACTCATTACTTATAAAACCAGGAAATCTGGGAAAAGAAAAATATATATAATACATAGGAAAACCAAAAAAAGCCCACTTATCAGTCAAAAACATGTCCTCGCTTTAAAGGATATTTTAGTAAGTTATTCCAGAGAAGGTGATTCCCAATCCATTAGAAAGTAACTAATGTTTCCAGGCCACTGGGGCCTTCTCTCTCCATGAACAAGGTTGCGGTGCTCTAGAATTCACCTCACAGAGTAACTTCGTGGAGTAGCTTTGAAAATCTTGTGACCTATTTGGCATTTACCTCTAAGAAAAATCTTACCTAAGCCAGAGTTCCTGACTCCAGATGTTTTTTGAATGTGCAAATATGTAAAATGCTAGTAATTCAGGAACTCAGCACGTGACCAGGAGGATTCTGGGAAGGATGGTGGTGACTCAGCACTGCCCTCTTCTGTGTAGGTGATGCGTCCAAGGAAGACATCGATACTGCTATGAAGCTGGGCGCTGGGTACCCCATGGGCCCATTCGAGCTTCTCGATTATGTTGGGCTGGATACTACGAAGTTCATCATGGACGGTAAGAATTGGAATTCTCTGTTGTGTGTCTTTAATTGAGTTGAGGTAGTCTGTCTCAACTATGAATTAAAGTGTAATGCCTATTTAAACAGATAAGGAGTCTTAGTAGACCTTCCAAAGCCCTGCCCCACCAGCTTAAAGATTAAAGTGAAATGGCAGAAGGAAAAATGTGATTGCCTATTCTCCTCATAAGGCAACTTTTTTTTTAAACTTTTCATTTTGAAATAATTATAGATTCACAAGAAGTCTCAAATACAGCACAGACAGGGCCTGTGTACCCCTTTATATAGTTTCCCCCTGTGGTTCCATCTTATATCGTAACCACAGTACAGTATCAAAGCCAGGAAATTGACATTGGTACACAGTCATTCTATCACATGTGCTGATATGTGTAACCACTGCATTCAAGATGCACAACCATCTAAAAAAGGGTATGCATTTTACTGTAGTGGCTCTGAAGACAGGTTTAAAGTAGTAACCAAAATTGGGCTACCGAAGATGAATGTACCTCGTAATACCAGGTTGCACAAAGAATACTTACGGGAGGAGCAAGGAGGGCTCTGGTTTAAGCATGAACTTCTGAATTTTATGAGGGTACAAAATACCAGTGGCAGCAAATTCAGATTTGCTGAAAAGTCATTTCACTGTGTCACTGAGGGGTCCAGCCACCAGGTGAATGGGTTCTGTTTGTGACCCTGGACCTTTGGCATTAGCGAGTCCAAGGAAGGGGTCGGATGAACAGGACGGCCATTGGTAGAGCTGGGCCTTGAGCGGCGCGGCCTGGTGGCAGCACACCCGCTTTAGGGCTCATGCTCAGCCTTCCTTCTGCCTCTGCCGTTTTGGCCCGAGTGACACCAAGCCTGTGGGGCTCTCCCACATCAGAGTAAGGACGCTTCTCCCCACGCTCTGCCTCCAGACTTGCCCTGGAACGCCGAGACTTAAACCCAGCAATTCATCCGAAGCACTTTTCCCTCCTCTCAATAGGATGGCATGAAATGGATACAAAGAACCCCTTGTTTCAGTCCAGCCCATCCATGAATAAGCTGGTAGCAGAGAATAAGCTTGGCAAGAAGACTGGAGAAGGATATTACAAATACAAGTGATGCGCAGTGTCTCTGGCTCTGGGAGGAAGCCCCGTAAGCACATACCAACAGCTCCCCAAGCGCCCAGGGGAATGCTCTGTGGTCAGCCGTTCCCTCACACAGCACAGTCTGTTCGATGTGCGTTTGGATTGTAATCTATCTGAACTAATTATTTACAGTAGTTACAGTAATAGCCGATTCCTCCATTGAGAACTAATTCCCTTTTTAAGTCTGTTTGTTCATTTCTGTGTATTTTCTAAAAAGCTTTACACCTTAGGTGCCTTGGAGTAAACATTTATTTTGAACCTTGTCGTTTTTGTAAAGAGTGTCCTGAACCTGAACTCATTCACTTGTAACGAGAGCACCCTGTTGTCCATCGTTGCCACACGGGAGAGCCGCGAGCCGTTGCCTCGTCGTGGTGTGTCTGTGGAGGGCTGCATGAGCAGCACCTGCATCTCGCCTTCACCAGAACATGTGCTGCCTGCAGCCTCAAGCCTTACCCTACTTCGGGCGTGACGTCAGGTGTCACGCCTCAATTCAGCTCATCATCGAGATGCTGCTTCTGGATTGGTGGGAATACCTCCATGTGTTTTGTTTTTGCAGGAAGAGGTTTCATTCACCTCTGAAGTCTGAGTGGTTATTGTCTTTTTTTTTTTCATGAGAAATAATTGCTGCAGATTGACTCTAATGAAATGCAGTCTTTTATTCTGTGAAAATTTGAATTCAAATAAACATGTAAAATTTAAAGTCATAATATGCTTAAATGGTTATAAAAGTAAAGGTTGGTAATTTAGGCAGAAGCTGTGCCATCTTCTTTGGCCTGTAGTCACTTTTTTGAGTGGTAATGGAGGGGAAGGAGTGGCAGGAGAGGGTGTTCATGTACAACCTGCCTGCAGCTGTCACTCCAGATTTCTTACCCACAGAGCAAGAATAAGGGCACAGAAAACACTTTTTAAGGAACATCTGTTTCTTTTTTGCCAACAAAAAGAAACAGTGTAACATAAGCTTCTTTTAATCATTGGCTTGAGAAAGTGTCTTCCAAGATAGAATTTTGAAGCTGGAAAGAAATCAGAAACCCTGAGGTCCAGTGGCCTCATTAACAGAGAGCTGAAGTGATGTGCCCAAGGTCACCAGAAATTTTGTGGCGGAGCAAGGATTAGAACTAGGTGTCAATGATAAAAAAAAAAAAAATACAAAATAGCAAATTTGAAAATTTCAAACAGGACTGTCCCCAAAATGGGCATCCTTGTTTGGTATCCTGGGTCACGGTGCCAGTGGTTGAGAGATTTCCAGCCCCCTCCATTTCATGGTGGATAAAGGGGAGCTTATTCATTTTTTTTTTACTTGAATCTAACTATAGCATAATGGAAAAATTAATATGTACTTACATTTCTACCACACATAGAACCTGGTTTAGGAAACTTGTAGGTTATTCTTATAAAACATTTCCTAACGATAAAAGGAAGCACCTGTGACACCATCACCATTTCCATTACTCAGGGTTACCCTGTGGTCAGAAGGCCCCCTGCTCACTCTCAGGCTGGCTCCTGACCTTTGTTTGACAGGAGCCCCGGGCTTAGGAGGGGCCTTTCTTTCTTTCTGTTCTCTGACTGGAGTGCCCGCAGGATGTGGGCCCTTGTCTTGGAAATGGCAGGGCTCTTTCTTGACCACTGAATTCCAGGAAAGAGAGAACTCAGTGGTGTGACTGTCAGCCTGCCGGGGTGAGGGTGGAGGTCACAGCCACCTTTCTCTGGCTGAGGGTTTTCAGCTCACTCAGCCTGCCAGAAAGTCAGAACACCTGGCCTCTGAAGATTGTTTCATCATTTTCAAAAATCCCGTTCCACGTGCCATGTTTGAGTCCGGGAAGGAATCTTGAACATCTTCTTACACACAGGAGCAGAGAGCGGCTTTCTCAGCCCCGTCTCTGCCTTCTTGGGTGAGCCCAGCTGCTGCCTGCCGAGGGCTCCGTGGGGAGAAGGGTCTCCGTGGTCCGTCAAGTCCCCTGCTTTCAAATCTGGGCGGCTGCTGCTGTTTGCCGCGGTA